CATAAAAGCACATTTAAACACAAAGTCCCTATCCTCAAAGCCCACAGGCTCAGCTTCATGGGGTTTCTGATGAAGGCAACTTCTTCCCCTCCTGGCTCTTGGAGGTCCTAGTCTTCTCCTCAGTCCCTTGGATCACCCATGAAGACTCAAGGCACCAGACCCAAGAGACAGTGGTCTAAGGCTGTCTTCCAAATCCCTGACTCCTTCCTGCCCTTGTATGATTGAAGCTGGGATTGGCCACTCACTCAGGGTAGACCCCATTCCAGCTTCTGCCCACTAGAGGGTAACAAAACCCCTTGTTCCCAAAAGATCAATCACATCAGAGCAAAAGAGTCCAATAATCATAGAAAACATACATAGATGGTTTCTGATTTAGGGTTAACCTTAGATAGCAGGGGTGGTGAGTGAAGTAAGGATAAGTGGAATGGAAAAAAGTTAAAGCAGTTTATTTTTTGCTGCATTTTGTGAAGTAGAATCCTAGGACAACTGGTGAGATTGAGAGCCAGTGGGTTAGTGGGGATTTGAAGAGTAACAGTTTGGAGAATAAAGATTTATGCCAATTAGCAAAGGATAAAATATTGTTCAACATACCAGAGGCTCTGCTGAAGACAGAAATCATACAGCTGTAACACAGCCTAGCTATATGATTTTTTTTTCCAAAGCAGAGTGGTAGCTGGGGGCATGCATGGAGAAAGCCATAGTTAGATTTATTCAAAGCTGTATATTGTCAAGGTGGACACAGCAAAAGGACAAGAATGTGAGGGATCTATGATGCTAGTGAGAATGTGGTTTAATTGAAGGTCTTGGTCATGAGGCCCAGGCTAGGTTGGGGGAAAAAGTATAAAAAGAGGTGCTGATAGACTAAGGGATTGGGAAGGCGTGGAGAAAGTACAGGTCTTGCTAAGACTGACAGGTGGGTTTGAGGGAAGTAAGAGAATGGCACTGATGAAAGCGCAGAGTTTCTGGCTAGACAATCAGTCCCTGAATTTCAGATTTCAGAGACGAAATATTCCTGGGGTTGGGATTTGGGAGTGGGTAGATGAAGGGAAGTAGTTTGGGAGCAACACATCACATATTGGGATGTGTAAAATGATGTGGTCATCAGATATTCTGACTTCTTAAAACTCATGAAAATAAACCTGTCAATAAAAAACAGATTGACAAGACCCAAAGAAATGCAGAATTTGGAAGGCATTTGCTAAGCTTTGCTTATCATGCCATTTGGAGGTGGGACAGGAAAAAAAATAGGTCTCTCTATAGACTTCATAAAGAACAATACGTGAAGACCTCAATTTGTGGATGTCCTTCCCTTAAGAGAATGAACTAACTAACTAAATAACACGTTTTATGTTCCAGATATCTGGCTTCTCTAGAAAAATAAGATGGTCTTGGCAGCACTTAGCCAAGATTCCCTCAAAGTAGCAATAAGATTCCTCACCAGAATACCTGAATCTAACATTCCATGTTGCCATACTACACCTGGCTGGGTGTCAGTTGCTATTTATCAGTATGTTCACACATCTTTTTTAGAGTTAAGAGGAAAGTGAAATATTTCTTGTATCAAGGCCCTAACAAAATTAGAAAGCCAGAAGTGAATCAGGAAGAGTATTACTCTGATACGCAAAGTATATCGTTGTTGAAAAAACATGAATTATGATGCTATTATGAAACAAATCCCTCCAACTTCATTTATTACATTACCTACCTGGCCCCCATACACATTTGAGTTTGCAATGACTCCTGTAATAAAATAATGGTAGACATACAATCAAATACAAGAGAGAGAATTTATAAAACCAGTGCAATAAGTAACAGTTATTTTTGAGGAACTCATTAATATAGTCCCTCATATTGTATCCTTTTGCTGATAGAATGATCTTTTCAAATTCCCATTGATTAACAGATTCCCTCAAAATGCTACCAATAGCCACTGAAAAAACTTAAGAACTCACAAAGTAGTTTCTCAGTGGCTGAAAAGCATAGCTGTAATTCCCTGAGTGCCTAACTTCTTGGCAGCCATAGACACTTGTGGAAGATGGATCCAAGGAAAATGGGTGAAGGATCTTTAGTGTCAGAAGAGAGGAAAATATGGAAATGAAAACTTTTGGCAGTCCTAACTTGCCACATTACTGCTCAGGAAAAAAGGCAATCAATCGCTACATATTTCTTGTTGTTGAGGATCATGATAAAATAAATATAATTTAAGCTGTAGGAGCATAATAGATTAAAATCAGCCCCTTGGATTGACTCAGGAAGCAAATGAGTAGCCAGCGTGGACTAGTACATTGATATAATCTGCTATTTCCTTAAAGCATTTTGGTCATCTACTTTCTGCTCTAGTTAGCATTTATGTTAAGCATATGAACAGCAGTTGAATATGAAGGCTCAGAGGTTGAACTGCATCTTTGGAGAAATAGAGGAAATAACATGTGATTGAGGTTTGGGAAATGAAAATTGTCATAATACATTAAGGAAGAAAATAATCTGAAAGCCAAGTACTTACTGAATCAGAAAAAAAAGTTGGAGAGTCCTAATATTAGAGCCTGTGAACTGGAAACTAGATATGAATTCATAACCTACAAGGGTATAAATGATGGCAAGAAGTCAGTAAACTGAGTCAGTGTTATTTTGAGAGACTGAAGGAAGGTTCTTATGGAACAGGGAGTCTGAATAGTTCAAGTTCTGGGCATTAAATTGATGATGCAAATAGAAGACAGTTTGGTGAAGAGTGACAATGATTAAAATCTGAGATGGATTGAAATATGAAGAAAATTTAAAAGCGACAAAGCCATGTACTGTTGGCATGATACAATGAGATTTTAAAGGTATCTACTTTAAATATTATGAGCAGGTTGCTCACCAGAATCCAACCATTAGCAAATAGATAAAATAAATTGGCATAAGCATCATGGAGCTACTTAGAATGGGCATTTTATTAATGTCTTGCCTATCTTTTATTGCCCTGCTCTGAAATGTCTGAGGGAACCATTAGACAATATTTGCTGAGGAGTGACTATTATATTTTGGCTCTTTTTCTAACTCCAACTTCTATGAATTTCACAATGCCATGAAAACACTTCAGCAAGAATTTTGGCAAAATAGTTACAATTTCTTCAATAATATTGCTTGTGTAATATGAGGAATGGACAGCAACCACTTAGTGACTGCAGAGAGACAAGCAGGAATGAGGAAAAACAATTACTTACTACACTATTTGTGATGAAAAATCTGAGTTTAGCTTATTAAAAAGACTGTTGTGAGCCAAGCATTGCACATGTCAGAAGAACATGCTGCTTCCCTTCACCATGTCTGAGATATGGTACCTACAGTTGGGCTGTTTGTGGGATAAAGAAGTGCTGCTATAACATCAGCAGGTGTGTGACCAGTGGCTTGTGGGAGACAAGCACTTATGGGGATAAAAAGGAATCTGGCACAGGCCTTGGGCCTCTGGCATCATTAGTTACAGGTCTGCCAAGATGCTTTGGGAAACATTTTAATTTAAATGCCAAGTCTATTTCAACGAAGCTCCCTGGTTTGACCTGTTAGGAGTCCAGAGTGAGATGGATAGGTGCTCATTTTGGAGGGCACTGGTGAATCAGCTGGTGCTTCTATAAAAAAGCATCCTGGGGGTTAAACCTCAGTTAAGTCCCTACTCAGCCCAGGAAACTCACAGTGAGAGCCACCGGATCTATGGCTGTCATAGCATTTTACTAGTGACTCGTAAATGCAGGAAAGATTAGATACTAACACAGAAAAGGCAGAGACACCTCTGGGTGTTTATTAAAAATATCCAAATTAGGGAACTTGAAGAATAAAGACGCCAGCATTCTTTTTTTTCCTCCCCCGAAGCATACTCACAGGCTACTATGACTATAAATTTAATAAAGCAGAGTTAAGAGCCTGATTTGAATTATTTCAATATTTTTTCCTCCAAAACTATCACAAGACAGAAAAAAAAATTTTTTTTGAAACACAACTAGGAAAAAAAAAAAAAGAGATGAGACTGAATAAAACACTAAAGCATTGTCCTTCGATGTAAAACTATTTCTGTTAGTGTGTAGGCCCAGGTTGGAAAGAGATGTACAAAAGCTCGTCTGATGGGTTACAAAAACACGAATCCAGAGGATCTGAAGAATTAAAACGCCCCCAAGAATAATATGAAAGTATTTTATGTCGCTTCAGGGGCAAGGGCGAGTATGTATACGTACGTAAAGCCCATTTCCTCAAAGGCTCCTAGGCAGTCTGTTACAACACCACGCTAATGAAAGTCAGGTCTCTAAGTTCACTCCACTGCGGACTATCAGTTTCTCCTTCGCGCCCTGCGGGGACTGCATTTCTGGAAAAGAAAGCACACGAGTTGGGGAAGGGCTGGGGTGCTAGAGAGGGTAGGAGGCTGGAGCCCACGGAACCTGGGATGGAGAGGTGGGTGAGCCCAGGCCTGGGGCGTGGGGTGGCGCGGGGGTGGTGGTGGAAGGGCTGGGGTCTCACGCTTCGGAGTTTTGGGTCTTGTCTGGCTCCAGGGAGGCAGATCCAGGGGAGATATTTGCGAGCGGAAGCCACACTACCACTGTGGACTTTCAGGCCAGTCACTCCGCCTTAAGTGGGTGCCGGAGAACCAGAGGAAGGGCTGACTATAACGCTGCAAGTGGGATCCTGTCCCAAAAGATGAGCCTGACCTATGCTGGGCCCCGCAGGCAGGCAGGGCCAGCCGGCATCCCTGGTAGGGGAATCGGGAAGGTCTCAGTGATAAATCTCTGTGTGGAGACTCAGAGGGCACGAAATAGGCTCTGCTGATGTCCTCTGCCCCTCACAGCCTGCCAGCCACCCCAGCCTTCACCCCTGCCTCAGCATCCTTCCAGCTAGTTGAATCAATCAGGAGCCCAACAGAACGGAATTGGTTTCAGTGTATGAAATGGGTCTGACCCACTGGGGAAGTCAGAGAGGAGCGTCCCGAGCTGGGTGGGAAGGAAACGAGTTCAGTGCGCCGGGCTGGGGCAGGAATGAGGCGCAGCGGCCGAGATCCTAAGCCCCAGGACCCTGGTTCCGGGCTCCGAGGCCTGCGCGGTAGTTGCCCCTCGGGGTTCCGGGCGGGTGACAGTTGCAGCAGCTCGGGGGAGGCGAAAGATAGGCAAGGAATTGGGTCTCCAGTCCACTCGGCTTTGAGGTACCCGCGGCCCGATGACCCGGCCTCGGTGACAGCAGCCGCGACGGCGGCAATCTAGAGCGGGAGCTGGGCGGCTCGCGGTGGGTCAGGGGGCGACCGAGGAGGGACCACGCGGCCTGTAGGGGGCAGCGCCGAGCTCAGGAGGAGACAGCAGCCGGCGGGTGGGGTGGGTCTGGGCTGCCCCCTCCGGGAGCTGCCCTGGGGCCGCACGGCGATTGTCACACCCGGCCGCCCCTGTCCACCGTGCGCTTCCTCTCGGCGCCGCGGGCCTCAACTGGGGCTCTGAGGGACGTGACAGAGCTCGGCACGCGGCGGCCTCTAGGGAGTTAGGGTCCGGAGAGACCCGCGCGTCGCCCCCCGCCCGCCCGGGGCCGGGAGACCCTCGGGAACCGCCTCCGTGTGTCCAGAGAGCGTCGGGGCGGCCGCTACTTCCCCTCGTCCTTCGCCGGAGGTGGGCGCCTTTTCCTGCGTGGCGGGTGCTCCGACCCCAGTTGCTCTGAGCCCCGGGGGAGCGCGCCCCGAGCCCCTGACGTGGGCGCCCTGTTACTTCGAGCTGGGTGCCTGGGGCCCCTGAGGTGGGCGCGGGTTGCCCCGGGGTGGGCGCCCGGCCCGCGCGGGTTATTTTTGGCGCCCGCAGAGGCGCGTGTGTTGGGGCGTGTTTTCCTTCCCCAGGTGCCGGGAGCCGGGGCTCCGCCGGCGCCCGAGCTGACTCGTCTCTCTCTTCTCTCCGCTGCAGGAATCTTTCGATAATTCTGCCGCCGCGACTTTAACCGTGCACAAGGCGAGAGCTCGAAACAAACATCACATCTAAATTAAAAAAAAAAAAAAAAAAAAAAAAAAAAAAAAAGCGGAAGAAGCGGCCGAGGCGGCGGCGGCGGGAGGAGGAGGAGAGGAGGAGGGGCCGCGCGCGGCGGCCCGAGGCGGCGGCGAGGACGCGGGGACGCGAGGACGCGGCTTTGTGCAGGCGGGTCGCGGGGCGCCCATGGCGGAGTGCGGCCGGGGGGGCGCCGCCGGCGGGGCCCTGCCCACCTCCCCGGGCCCGGCCCTCGGCGCCAAGGGCGCCCTGAAAGCCGGAGTAGGGGAAGGCGGTGGCGGGGGAGGTCGCCTCGGCCACGGGCGGGCGCGCTATGACAGCGGCGGGGTTTCCAACGGAGACTGCAGCCTCGGCGTGTCCGGCGACGAAGCCCGGGCCAGCCCTGCCAGGGGACCCCGCGGCGTTGCGCTCGCCCCGACCCCCAGCGCGGTTGTCTGTCCCGTCCCCCGGGAGAGCAAGCCGGGCGGCCTGCCCCGCCGGAGCAGCATCATCAAGGTAGGTGGGAGAAGGGCGCTCATCGCCCACCGTCAGCCGTCCTTGGGGTCTGTTTTCCCCCCTGGGGGAGTGGTGGTGGAAGGAGGAAGCCCACTGCTAACAGGAACCACTGGAGCATGGGTGCTTGGGGTGGTTGAGCGGGGATTGGATGCAAATGGTATGTGGAAAGAATGGAGAGGTGATCCCTAATGTGCAGGGGGAGCTGTGCTCAGACATCCTCAATTGAACTTGGGGCTGTCACCTCTTCCAGGATTGGTCTGTCATTAGGGCCTTGTACCTGCCTGGGTAGGGCATACTCTTAGGTGTAGCCTAGTCTGGTTAACAGACTCCCTGTAAGATTTCTATTGTATCTTAAACACAGATAGGGATTATGTGAAATGTGAGAACGTTTTCTTAAAAATCCCAGGCGGCGAACAGAGGGTGAACAGAGATTATTTAATAGGTTTCTTCTGATCTGTATATAGTTAGTTGCCTCTTACAAATGTTTACACTTGGAGGGTGCAAAATCTCCCAGTCTCCGGTCACTAAGTCACAGAGAAAAATAGACTAGATTTCTGAACATAAATGCAGATTTCCGCTTTCTTAGGCTCGAAAGCTCTGAGAGATTACAGTTCCACATGATTTAATCTTTTTCCTTGCTGCAGTAGGCAGGCCTCCAGTTCTGTGGAAGTTCTTTTGGGCAGTTTGCTTGGTTTTGCTTGCACAGTGTTAGCGGAAGAAAGCCAGCGATTGTTTTGAGCATTTTAAACTCAAGAAGTGATATTAGGAACTCCCGAGTTTGTGTTGGTTTCATTCTAATGTTACATTTTGGTCCGCTATGTAAAAATACTTCTTGTGACGTGAAGTGCAAAAAAACCAAAAAGTTGATGAGCTAAGAAGAGCAGAGCCTTAGGCAAGACCAGCTCATTCTCAAGTTTGGAGCAAATGAAAACATTGCTTTCTGAAAATCAAGGAGCTATCAGGACAGGGAGCAGCAAAGCAAATTGACAGGCTGCACCCACCCTTCCTGTGGCTGATAAGTGGTGGGAGAGAGGGCAGAACGTGCTACAGTGATATCTGAAATTTCATTGGACCTACAGAAATCGTCCAAGTACTGTGAAAATGTCTGATGGTGTTATCAACTTATGCAGTCATCTAGTGAAATATACCATCTTGCTACTCTGTAAGAGGCAGTTGTGAAACTGCATTTCGCTTTGTCATCTGTTTGCACAGTTTATGTCTGGGCAAGGACACAATTTGAAGGGCTTGGAGATCAAGTGTATTAACTACCTGCAGCACACACTTAGAGATAAACTAAGGAAAGTAAAGTGTCTTTTTGCTGCATACATAGCTTTTAGTGACTTACGTTTTCTTTTACTCTGTGGCTTATGTTTCCATGGATGTTGCTTTCAACTGTGCTTGTTAATCCTATTGACAGAGTTATGTGACATTTCTGTTTTTATTTGTCATAAAATATTTGTGGTGATTTTGCATTTTGGTGTTAATAAAATTTGAGGTGAAAATTCCAGAGAAGATAGATACCAGCCTACCTAATTTTAACCCGTTTCTTTTAATTGTTTTGAGAACTTTTTGCATTAAAAAAAAATCAAACTTTATTAGTGAGATTCATAGTGAGATTCATAGTGTAACTTACTGAATTACAAAAACGTTTGTTTTAATTTTACATTAATGGGCGATGAGCAAGAAGGATGATTTGTTAGTATTTCTGATATGTGGAATTGGGAACTTGTCAATGGATATAATTTCTTCATTGAAGGCTCTAGAAGCACATGGGGGAAATGATTAATTGTTCAAAAATCACTGATTTTAGAAATGATATTGATAACTTACGTTGAATTCTGAAACTTTCAAAAATATTTTGTCATTTTTCTTCTTTGTAAAGAAGGCATTTGGCTTCTTGTTCACCAGTGTACCCCTAGATACAAAGTGCCAGGAACGTAGTAGCAGCTCAATAAATTGCTTATTGAATGAATGGAGAAAGTACATATTTTCTCTGAGTTCTGTTAATTTATAAAATAATTGTTTTTGGATTTACCAGTGTCATAGTTTGTTCATTGTATAGTACCTCCAAAGAAGGCTTGACATACTCCTTTTTCTTACCTCTATTTTCACTTTGCATTTTCTTAAACTTTTGAAAATTATGGAAGTAGTGTTGAAAGTTGATCAAGACTGGGTTACAGGAAAGAGAGGATGTTATATTTAAATAGCTAACTACTTGGTATATTTCCCCTTGAATTGGTGCCTTGGAGCATCAAGATTTTTGGAATGTATTGTGGTATTTTCTGAAGATAACTTCCAGCATCAGGACAGTATCCTAATAGAAAATAAAGTCTTTAACATCAAATTTCATAAAGCAGTGAATACTGCACAGATAGTTTTGTCATGTGAATGGCAGAAATTATGTTTCACTTTTATTTTTTTTAAAAAAAGAGAAAAAGCTAAAGCCCACGTGAAAAAGCGATAGTGACATGTTTCCATGGTTTCCTTCTTTTTTTTTTAATATAAGGGATGAATGCAGTCAGGTGGTCTCTGAGTAGAGGCAGGAGTAGATTTGTAAGCAAGGTGGTAATTGGGGGCTTGAGGGAATAGCAGGGAGTGAATGCTACCTGGGGAACTGAGGCCAGTATATATGGGGTCGTATTTGTTGAAATGTTGGGCTTCTGAACTGTGCTTTTCTCCTAGCTTCCATCTTCATTACAGTCTTGACATCCCTCTTTGATGGAGATCCTTAAATCAGAGGGAGAAATAATGGCCTAAATGTGATATTAGGTGGGCAAAGAAAAGGGACTGTTGCTAAAGTGCAGGGCATATGCAGAAATACACTGTAGGCTGACCCAAATCTTATTCCTCCTTTAAAATAATTGATTTGGTACTGCATCTGTTTTGTAAATGTGGTGTTGAGTAAGAAATTGTTGTAAAACCATATTTTCTGCCAAAATAGATGCACAGATCTATACTAAAAGAGCTCCTTGGTTATGTTAACAGTGTTGATTAAAATTCAGAGTGAGCAGCATTATAGAACCTTTTACAAATACCTTGAGATGATAACGAAATCATGAAAATCATCACCAGACTTTTCTACTTTTCCTTAGCTTATTGAAAATAACGGTAGACTTTTGAGATTATTTACAAAGGCCCATTACTGGATTTTAGAGAAGAAGCCATTATGTTTGTCATCTTAAGTAATCTAGTAAATGAAAACATCACTTTCATTTTCTCTTTCCATAATTGATTTCATCACTCTATTCAGTATAATCTATGCTTTATTTTGAAACAGTTAATTTGGTTAATTGTTCAGATGGCATCCATTATTTGCAAATAGCTCAATCCTTGAATTCAAGAGCTTGGTCTAAAAATATGAAGTAGCATTTTAGGCCTTAGATTTCTGTTTAAGTTTAGAAAGAAATGAAGTTAAAATGTCTATTGCTGTGGATGATTTATTTTAGTCAGAACTAGTTAAATACTTTGGTTGATACTTTAAAAAATGAGGTATGATTTACATACAGTAAAATTCACACTGGTTTGTGTCCAGTTTTCTGAACTTTGACCACTACATTCAGTCATATAATCACCACCATCATGAAGATATAGGGCACAAACATCACCTCAGAAATCTCCCCCAAGTCTCTTTGTGGTCCTCATCCCCAGAAAATGGCAACCATTGATCTTTGGTTCTTTTTTAATCAGTAGGAAATTCAGCCATTGCATTATTTTGGTATTTAGAAGCAATAACAGTAGCCAACATTTGTTAAACACTCACTACATGCAAAACATGTGAAAAGTGCTTACCGTAATTCTCTGACTTGGTCCTGTGCTAACCACAGAGACAGGAGGAAATCAGAGTTCAGAGAGGTTAACCCCGTGCCCCAGGTGCTGGAGCTACTTGTTGTATCCTGCTTGGGTATGGCTGTACTCCATTGCTTCCTCACATTGCAGTGGCAGTTTGAATTTTCTGTGTAGTCAAGGCAGCATCAGTGACTTGGGACCTCGGATTTGATTGTCCTCTTTAAATGTAGGAGATATTGGAAGAAGGAAAAGAATCTCTGTTTCTGCTGGTGGAAGAAGTTGGCAGATAATACAGCCAGGCAGCTGTTTAGTCACCTGTTGTGGCTGCTTGACCAGGGCTTGCAGCTTCACAGGGACCAATGGTCTGACCTTGCCCAAGGTGGCAGCCCTTAGTTTTCTTAATGTAATTATTGCCATTATCATGGTATCTTGTGTAGGAGAAACACTTTTACTATCTTTGTACTAATATGTTTACCTATGTCTTGACACTGAGCTCTCCAACATGGACAACAAGCAGCCTTTTCACATCTCTTATACACATTTAAATGAAATAAAAGTTTTATATGTGTCTTGGCCCATGGTTTAAATAAACTAGGCTCCTTGCAGGCAGAAGTTGGGCTGTATTTACCAGTTCTTCACAGATAACAAACACTCAGTAACCATTTTTTAATTGGATCTTAAAAATAATATATGCATTTGACTTTACACATTTTTTTTTTTTTGAATGAGGGGGAAACAAAGATACCATATGC